TACGACACACTAAGGACTACACCTGCGGCTCTTGGGTTTGCTCCGTCTACAGCCGATCGTCGCTGTTTCTGCGCACCGACACCTCTTTGCCGCCGTTCTACATCCCCGTGTACGTCGACGACTTGGTCTTTGCCACTACCGACACTGCTGGACTCGCCCACGTGAAGTCGGAGCTGCAGAAGAGACACACGGGCATGGACCTGGGTGAACTGCGCAGCTAACTTGGCTCGCAGATCACCCGGGACAGAGCACGCCGCACCATTACCCTGACTCAGTCACACATGGTGCAGCAGGTCCTTCAGCGCTTCGGCTTCACGTACTCCTCGCCTCAGGCCACTCCTCTGTCTACTCGCCACTCGCTCTCAGCTCTGCCTTCGGATGAGTCCGTAGAGCCGAGTGGCCCGTACCCAGAGCTTTTTCGCTGCCTCATGTACCTGATGACCTGCGCATGACCTGACCTTGCATACCCCCTTAGCATCTTGGCACGGTATGTTGCTCCTAGGAGACACCGACCAGAGCACGTGGCTGCAGCGAAGAGGGTGTTGCGCTACGTATGCAATACGTCGGGCATGGAGCTAGTGCTTGGAGGGCAACGTCGAGTAGTCCTCACAGGTCACGCTGACGCTTCTTGGGCTGACGACCAGGCTCTGCAGCGGTCGTCACAGGGTTACACCTTCTGCCTTGGCTCTGGCTCTGTTTCGTGGCGGTCTACCCGCTCGTCTTCTGTTCTCAGCTCCAGCTGTGAGGCTGAGATCTACGCAAGGGCCATGGCTGCACAGGAGCTACGCTGGCTCACCTACTTGTTGACTGACCTAGGAGAGCCGCCTCGTTCTCCTCAAGTTCTGTACGTAGACAACAAGGCCATGCTGGCCTTGTGTTGGGAGCACAGATTGGAGCACAGAACGAAGCACATTGCTCCCCGCTACTTCTTGGCTCGTGAGCTGCAGCAGCGTGGTCAGCTCCGCCTCACCTACGTGGCCTCTGAGGCCAACACTGCTGATATCTTCACCAAGGCCCTTCCGCCTTGTGATCATCAACGCTTCTGTACTTTCCTAGGTCATATACCTACCTGGCCTCACTTGCTCACTTCTTAATCTTGTTTGTACTGTACTCTTTCTATACCTGCACTTGCTTGTTTACCTTTATATATGATCTTGCATGTAAGCTGGCCTTGTGGCCTTGCTCTTGTGCTAGGACTGTGTGGTGACTTTGTGATCCACCCTGAGCTTGCTTTGCTTTGCTTGACTGGTCTTGTGACCACTTTTTCTCCCCCACTTTGCCTATGGGGGTGTGTCAGAACATTATAGCTCATACTTCTGTGTAGGGTGTAGTGGTGTAGCCCATAAGGGGTACAACCCAATTAGGGTTAGTACTTGTACCCAACTGTTTCATAGTTCAATCATTCTCGTTCTAATTCGCACAAACGGTCACGCCTTCCTTCCGCCTTGTGATCGCAGCAAGTCGCGTCGAAAGGTAGGATGCGACTCCCAGCATCCCGTCAGGCACCGCGCGCACTCGGCTCCTCAGGTGTGTTTCCTTTCACATCGTTTTATTCCGTAGAGCCCCTCGCCTCATCCGATTGAAATTCATCCTTCCTATTCTCTCCATAACTAGATATCTCGCGATTCAAAGTCGCCTTCATTCCTCCGCTGATTGTCCACCAGCTTCCAGTTGAGCAACCTCACGCACCATTCTCACCTCGTTCCATTTCTAGTCCTTGCCATCTCCACTCTGCTTCTCTTCTCCTCCTGTTGCTCCTACGTTTGGGCCTTCCCTCGTTCTGCAAGATCACGTCGCATGAAGCCACGATGATAGGCAAGGCCAGCGTCGCTTTCCCGTTTACACGTAGCCTTTCTTGTCGTCGAATTCACCTGTGACTTTGCAGATTCTCTTCTTTGAGACGTTCCTATGTCTTGTGCTGAGACTATGTTTCTGCCCCCTTGCTTTTCAAAAACATCTTGACTATGTTGCCTGAATGCTGCAGGTCCTTCCCGCTTGAGGCCGATTCGTCATTGCAAAGCTAAGGAGAACAAACCCGCCTTGGAAGAAGCACGCAATTGTACAGAATCCCCGAGGTAAACTTTCCCCTCCTTTCCTCCCCTCCGCCCATTTCTCTCCTTATCCGTCGCGCTTTCGTGCGATCATGTATTTTGTGGTCGTCCCTTCCGCCGCCTCCAGTTTTGACAGACCCCTTACTCCTCCCTCTGGCTTTTTCCCCACTTCCTCCTCCCATGTATCTCAGGTTCCGTCCTCCTCCCATGCGCTTCAGATTCCTTCCTCGTGCTTCGAGATCTCCATCTGAGCCCTCCATGGCCCGCGCGTCTGAAGAGGATGCGGCAGTCAACGGGCTGCTCATGGCGTTCGTCCTCCGGAGCTCCTCCCTCCTCATGTCTAAATGCTCCTCTATGCGTACCCCATACCCATTCTAGTGTCATTCGCTTGGTGCCTGTGCATGTTTCGCTCCTCATCACTACAGTCTTGCATCCTTCTTGAGCATACATTTTTTTGCTCATGAATTTCTGTCTTTTTTGTTGCTTTCGATATAAATCTTCATTCCCCGGTGTATTCTCATCCCGCAAACAGGGAGTTTGCTTTGTCTACATTTTTGTGTATTACTATGCTTTAAACAATCATTATTCCCGGGTGTATTCCCATCCCGCAAACAGGGAGTTTGCGAGTAAAGCCATCGACGCCAGTTTAGGGCAAAGCGGTGAATGGCACAAGAGGCAAGAGGCCCTGAAGACGACAGTGACAGCGCTTGCTGCGCAGCTCGAAGCAACCAGGAAGAAGGTGGAGGAAGCTGAGGGGAGGGAAAAAGGGTTGTGGAGGAGCTGGTGGGCGTGAAGGCGGATGTGGCAAAACACAAGGATCATCTGCTTGTGCTGGAGGGGACTCTCACAGACCGTGAGCTGGTAAGCAATGCTTGAATCTGGGTGCTTGAGCCGGTTGCTGCAAGGAAGCAAGGCAGACGCATTTAGGGAATGCTCTTGTACTGCAAGAAGCGCGCTCATTATTCTGTGTGACTTTATCTTCAGGAGTTCCCAAACACAAGGGGAGAGGTGGCAGCCCTGAGAACGGAACTGGAACAACTGAAACGTGACACCGAGAAGATATGGGAGGTACGTTGTTGTGAGTGTTGTGGATGGTGGTGTCAATGGCTGGGGCACTCAGCTCAGGGTGCCACATGTTTCTGCTCCAGGTGCTGTGGTTGGGGTGCTGGTGCTGGTTGTCTTGTCAGCACGTGTCCAAACCAACACCGCCTTGCGCTCTAACATGATTGTGATGATAACCCTGTGGTTCTTCCCTCTGAACCCTTCTCAGGCCATCCTCTCAGCAACACCAGCTCGCACCTCGTTGGACGTGAAGAACATCTCGTGCCTCTCAGATGCAGCCCTTGGGAAAATCTCTTCCATGACTCAGCTGGAGTCTATCGGCCTGGATGGCTCCTCGGGGTTCACCGCAGAGGGCATCAAGCAGCTGTACAGGCTGCCCCAGCTGCGTGGGCTGGACATGCGCAACACGCCCATCTCAGACGATGCCTTGCACGGAATTGGGGTGCTCAGCAGCAGGCTTCACATTCTCAGCCTCGTGGGCACCAGTGTCACGGATGCTGCTTTACAGCATGTGGCAGCCCTCTCGTCCCTCACGCTCCTAGACCTGGTCGGCTGCAGGTTTGTCACAAGTGCCGGCATGGTGCACGTAGGGAAGCTGGTGCATCTAGAGGGTCTTCACCTGGGCTCCAATGGGGTGAAGGACGATGGGCTGCCGCACCTCCTCTCACTGACCAAGCTGAAGATCCTGGCTGTGCCACCCGGTGTGACTGATGCTGGCATGGAGCAGGTTGCTCAGTTGACTGCGCTGGAGCGACTAGACCTGTGGGATTCCACAGTAACGCAGAGGGGGGTGGGGAAGCTGATGAATCTGCCTCATTTGATTCGGATTCGAGGCAACAGCAATGCCTTGGATTCGTTGATCACGAGGTATCTTCCTCGTGTGGCGATTGGTAGTCAGGATATCATCATCCCGTAGTTTGTTGAAAATATTCATCTACCCGCGGAATGGAAAGTGGTGTGAGTGAACGAGCGTGATCTGTACCTGGTGGCTTTCATTGAAGTGTCTTGAAAAATTCTGGATCCGTAAGGGCCTGCTGCCTGTAGTGCCATCACCTCACCATCATTCTTGAGATTCAGAACATCTGTTTTCAGGCTTTCCAGTGTCGGGGTATGGTAGTGGACCTTCGAAGTCATTCATAGGTAGCAGAGATCATTTTTTGTTAAAAGGCGGCAGGGCAGGTGTACCGCAACTTGTGCTACAGAATTTTTAAAAGACTCATCAACTTCCCAAAAAACCCTCTGGGCTTTGCCTCGTCTGGCATGGCAACCTTGAACCAGCGGGCCCACTGGAGGCTGCTACAGGCCAAAGGCACGCGCCGTGGCATCTCTGGTGCCCTTCCCGCCCGCCTTGCAGTACACCCACAGCAACTCCAGAATCTCCTCGAGGGGGTGTGCATGCAAGAGGGCAGGAGCAAGGGCAAGGAGGAGAGTTCATGGGCGTCATGAAACGATTGGTAGGGAGCACAGAGAGAATGGGAGCAAGGAGAGCATGGGAGAAAGGTGGGCATAGGAGCAAGGAGAGCATGGGATCAAGGTGAGCATGGGAGCAAGGTGAGCATGAGAGCAGAAGGGCACTAGCTCTCGATCTTCGACAGGCTGGAGCTGATTCCGAGGAGTTTGTCCCTGGTGAGGCAGAGGGGCATGTCTTCAAGAGGCATTGAGTGAGTGGCTCGCGATCTGGACTGGTCCAGCACGTTGGAGCTGATTCCGACCAAGAAGTTTGTCCCCCGATGTGTGGATGATGTCCCCATGAGGGGCGTGCCGATCAGCAGCACCGCCACTCCCAACACAACGGCTGGTCTGTTGCATGGAGGAGGAGGGGAAGGGGAGGGGAAGAAAGAGGGAGAGCTGTCGCAACCTGTGGAGATGAATCAGGAGTGAGCTTTCCTACATGGGGGTTGTGCTCTGCAGCTCTGCCACACTCCCGCCACGCCTGGCTTGGGAGGGAAGGAGGAAGGCAAGAGGAGGGGAAGGGGGGAGAACGGGAGGGAAAGGTGTGGGAAAGGGGAGAAAAGGGGGAGGGAAAGGGTAGGGTAAGGTGAGGGAAAGGTTAGGGAAATGAGAGGTGAAGAGGAGAGAAAGGGGATGGTATGGGAGGAAAGGGGAAGGGTAGGGCGAGGGAAAGAGGACGAAAAGGGGAGTGTGGAGTGTGGATGAAAGGAAGGTACCTCCGATCTCAGTCAACCATTACCGTGCACTGGTGTATGTGCCACAAACGTCATGCACACACCATGAGAGCACCACACACGCCATCATGCATACCATGCTCACACCATGGACACACCACATATGCGGCACGCACACTATGCACATTCACGCATAGCACCAATGGAAGGTGTGCTGTTGCAGCATGGGAGAACGCGGTGGGAGTAAGGGAAAGTGGAGAACAGTGAGCAGCAAGAGGAATAGAGGAGGGGGGGAGGGAATAGGAGCCGGAGCAAGTGGGTGGAGAACAGCGGAAGCAGCAGTAGCATAATGAAGGCAGAGAATGGCAGCCGTAGGGGAGAAAAGAAGGAAGGCCGTCACGTCACACACTGAGTGCACAGGATGGAATGTCTGCGATAGAAATGAGGCCCCCTTGTTGCTTCTCACCGTCGAATTGCTGCAATCCCGGCCGACCGCCAAGGGACTTACGGCAGATCAGATGTCACAGATGGACGGTCGACGCATCTGCAGACTTGAACCAAGGGCTATACCCCTTCAAGGCTCGGCGCGTGGATGCCCAGTGGTTCAAGGCTCGGGCTGTTACCCTTTAAGCCTGGGCATGGGAGCGGGGAGGCGGGAAACGCATTGCAGGGAAGGGGGGCACATGCTCAATATTCCGGAGGAAGCGAGGAGGTGAATGTCGGACAAAAGTGCAAGGTGAAGGGCAAGAGAGTGTCGAGAGAGAGCGAGCTGAAGGGAGAAGAGACGAGGGGCGGAAAATAGGTGAGAGCATCACGATAACAGGGTGGTTATGGTTCTAGCGGTCGACTTACCATCGCACAGGCTTTCACCAAACAGCTGTTGCTTCAGCCCTGAGGTCCCTTCCCTTTTTGTCTGCCCTTCGAGACGTTACTCTCGGAGCTCCGTCCTCCCACATTCTCTTGCGTTCTGATCATGTTTTTCCCCGTTCCTTCTCCTGCCGTCGCCTCCACTCCTCCACTCGCTGCTGCACCTGCTGCTCGCTCTGCGCCGCCGAGCCCACAAGGGCCACCGTCCTGCCTCAACCTGCTTACAGCGGGGACAAAAGAGGTGAGGTGACACACTCGGACGGTGCTGCTTTGCGTGCAGAAAATTCTGGCTTTCGCAAATACGAAGCCCGCGAAGGCCTGTCATAGAATTGCCTCGGAGGCGAGGCGCAGCGGTAAACTAAGGATCAAACCATGCGCCTCTACCGCTGCACCCTTGCAGATGCTTCATCCTGAATCGTCTCCATCAAACGGGATTCATTATCAGCTCGTAACGCGGCTACGACTAACAAACGCACAGCTCGCCCTTGAGAGAATATTTGCTCGCGGGAATAGCAACGCCGACGCCGCTCATCGTGAATGGCGCGTTCGAGCAGCACCTGGTGACAGATTGTCACTTATGGCGGGGTTCGACGAGTTCGACGGGGACAGATTGTCACTTATGGCGTGTACACAGACGATTCGAGGTCGAGCTGCGAGGAGAGTACGAAGTATTACGATCAGCCATGCTATGGACCGGCTGCGTCTCACGCACCGTATCAGTTTCGTGAGCGGCTTCCACGCCATCGCGTGCATCGCACGGCAAGCAGCAGTCTGGCAGATGCGAGTGGAACAGACGATTGAAGACCGATCAGAGAGGCTCCTCTGGAGAGGCAGCGACGCGGACGTCCACGCGGGACGATGCCGATGGTTTATCGCTACATCGGCTATCATTAGAAAGTGACTCGCTATGATGGTCATCGGATCGGCGATAGGCCAAGCCTTTGGGAATGCGGAAACAGATTTCCAGAGCCAAGCCCCACAGAACGGACTTAATCATCACCTGATCAATGATTACGTACGAAATCGCTTTGTTCGCCGCTACATGTGACCTCCACATCTGGCTAAAGGATTGTTGCCTGATGATCTCGATGCATACTACTAACATGCGGAAATTAGGAGGCAGTTTGGAATGTATATGGCTGTTCTGTACACCTAGTTGGTGCCTGCCTGCCGCACAAGAGTAGCATTCCTGAACCATGGTGTTCGATAACACTTCGCGTTCGGGTTGGTTTCCAACAACTGGTCTGGCGTGGGGTTCAGTTCGGTTAAACGAACAAACGATTTTGGTCGCTAGCGTCGCTGTAAATGTGGTTACTAATCTTGCCGAATCAATGACACCAATCGAGCCCTGTGCGACCTCTTGCGAGATGCACAAATTTCGTTACGAAAACCTTCAGCAGGTGCCCATCCCGCCTACAGATCCGCAACATCCAGACTCCAGAGCGACGAGAGCAGCTAAGGAAATGGGAAGATCGTGAGATGTTGGAAGCAAAGCAGAGGTGAGAGGGGAACGAGGCAAGAGATCAAAGCAGCAGAGCAAGATAGCCTACCACCAGCGCTCAATGTAGTCGCGAGCTACTGGCCTTGATAATAAATTCGGTTCCTCTGCTTGTTTGCCATGGCGTGTGGTGTTCCTTCATCTCCGTCAGTCATGTCGATTTTCAGCTTAGACTACACGCAGATCCGTGTTCGTCCTTGCAGATCTCTTGATAAGACCCACATGAATCCATTCAGATCTGCTTTTCCGTCATGGTCGAGCCCGTACCAGCTCGGATTCCGCACATTGAACCACTGGAAAGCCTTAGTCAGGGTTCGAACCCCTGACCGGATCGTTGCGATCAGATGCGATGCTAATAACGCTTCCACGCCAGAAGACTCTTCAGAGGCGGCGGTTGCAAACCTTAAGATACAATCGACGGCCGATGACAAGTCGACCGTTGGAGCGGAGTTTGAGGCGCTTGGTTGCGGGAGGATGAGGTGGGAGCTGATAGAGAAGCAGAGGGGAGCGCAAAATATGTTGAGGAAAAGAAGGGTGGAACCAAGGAAGTTGGAGGCAAGAGGCGTGGGAGGAGAGCAGGCAAAGCGGAAGCAAGAAGCGAAGGTAGCGAGAGTAAGAGCAGGGAGGGGGAAGCATCTGAAGGAGGAGGCAGTGACAGTGATTGCTCAAGTGCTGATGGCGAAGTTCGGACCTCAGATTGTAAGAGAGGAGGAGGAGGAGGAGGGGGCTGGGAACGCGGAGAATAGGAAGGGCGAGGAGGTGGAAGGAGAGGAAGAAGCAGCGGCGGAAGAGGAGATGGATGAAATGGACATAAATTCGAAGGAGGGGAAGGCAGGAACAGAAATGGGTGAGGAAGGTTCACCATGCACGACACTTCGTCCCAGACGTGCTACCTCTCGCTCCTCCCTCCTCTACCTCTACCGCTTCTTCTCCTCCCACCTCGGCATCTCCTCCCCTTCCACTGTCGCTCCCCTTCTCGCCTCCACCCCCCAACTCCTCCGCTCCAATCCCACCAATGACTTCCTGCCACGTGTCCGTCTCCTCCAGTCCTTTGGCATATCTCATGCTGACATCGCCCACATCACATTGAAAAATCCAGCCTGGCTCCGAAGCTCCCTGCGTATGATTCAGTATACACTTGAGTTTCTTTCGGCTCAAGGCGTCCGCCGAAGCAGATTGGGCTCGGTGCTCCGACGTGGACGTAAGCTTCTCTGCTGGGAGCCACGTTCAACGAACCTGGACATTCTGGTAGAGAGAGCAGGGGTTCCTGTGGACAAGCTGGGTGTGATTATAGAGAGATGTCCGGACATCTTGACTCGGAGCAAAGAGGCGCTGAATAATCAGCTTGAGATGCTATCAGCCTACCTGAAGGCGGGAAGTGGAAGGAAGGTAGAAGCAGGAAGCACGAGCACAGGCCTCCTGAAGCAGCAACAAGATGAGTAGCATCTCCATTTGAGCAGGCTTATCTTGAAACATCCATCCATCCTCTCTATTTCTCACTATCACATCGCAGAAAATATTGCAATCCTCCAGTCCTTTGCTTCCCCAGACGCCCCCTCCATTGCAGCCTCTGTGCTTCGGCGTGCCCCCACCGTCCTCAGTTTCAACAAAGAAACTCTTTTAGCTAAGCTCCAGTTCTTTCTCGAGCTTGAGGGGGAGAAAGCAGCAGGGAGAATTGTGAGGAGGTACCAGTCGGTTCTGAATCTATCGAAGGAGAACGTGCAAGGCAAGGTGGCGGTATTGGTCGATTTAATTGGCCGAGAGAAAGCTGTGCGGGTGGTGGCACAATTTCCTTTGCTCATAGCGTCCAGTGAAGCTGTCATGAGGGAAAGTTTTAGAGAGCTTGCGCGAGAAGTGGAGAAGGTATTGGAGAGCAGTGGGGAAGAGGGGAGTGGAACACAAAGACGGGTTAAAGGCGAGCGTGGTAGTTCCTTGGAAGGGGCGAATGAGCTTCGATCATCAAAGTCAGCTAAAGGTGACAAGAGATACCGGGCCCGCGAGTTGGTGGTGGATTTGGTGGTGAGGTACCCGCAGTCTATCAACTGCAGCTGGAAAACGAACCTGAAGCACAAGGTGGAGTACTTAAAACGGGACATGGGGCTCTCTATGATGGAGGTCATTGCCTTCCCTTCCTTCCTTACGTTGAGTTTGGATCGACGAATCAGACCGCGACATTTGGCACTGGTGCGAGTGGGCTATTTGGTAGTGGCACGCGAGATGGTTTATCGGACGAGTGTTGGAGACAGGAGGGGTGATTCGATTGAAGCTAGGAAACAAAGAAGCAAGCTGGGTTCTGTGTCTGACAATGTGGAGGGAGTAGAGGGGGAATTTGGAGTGGAAGAAAGAAAGAGTGGACCGTTACTTGGGGTTGTTTTGAGCAACGACGAGCCAGGGGAGAGCGTTGTTCTAGAGCAGCAGCTTCTGGATTTGGAGGCGACAAGGAAAGTGGTGTATTTGCGCCAGTTTCTCCAATGCTCAGACGAGCTGTTCGAGGAGAAGTTTGGGGTTAAACTGTAGGGCAGTGCTGATGGGCTTCTGTGGCTTCCAATGAGCGATAATGTTCAATCTTCCGGGGATGGGGAGAGGGGAGTTTTTTCGGGGGGGGGAGGGTGGGGTGGGGGAGAGGGGGAACGACAGCTGGTGGAAGGAAATTGTGGCAGGGGCGGTAAGGGGTCCTATTCTATGGGCTCTTCTTTTGTTGCTTGTGTCCGTTAAACCAGGTGGTGGAGGGGAGGCGGCAGGGGTATTACCAGAACTAGCAGCAGGAGCATGAGCAGCAGGAGGAGGCGGAGGGGATAGCGTGACTGCTACAGCCTTGTTGCTATGTCATTTGTTGCTGCCTGATGGGACTGGACTGGGGGGGGCGTGGTTGCTACAGCTGCCGTCACTGCGGCCCTCCCCTTGCTGTTCCTGTGGGTGGCGGTGTTGCCGGCTGTAGCAGAAAAGCTGCTTTTTAGATTTCTGCTGATCACGGCCCTGCACGCAAGGCTCGGCAGGTGAGAGGCTCGGCAGGTGAGAGGTTCGGCAGGTGAGAGGTTTGGCAGGTGAGAGGCAGGCTGGTGAGAGGCTTGAGGTTTGGCAAGAGGTTTGCTTCTGTTCTAAGTTGGGTAATTTCCACACCTCAGCAAGCACACTCTTTCCTAGCAATCCAACTCCACCTGGTTGGATCATTCATTTCTTACCCTTGCCTGTCATGGTATATCTCAGAACTGAAGTCAATGCTGGTCAACCTGAGTCATGCTAGTCAACTCAAGTCAGCAGGCCAAGTCTTGTTTGACTAACTCACCCTCCTGTGCTATCCCCCTTCCGGCCTCTCTCTTTTCAGAATTGACGCTGCCATGCTCTCTGTAGCCCTCTTTGACCTCTTCCACCTCTCCCTCCAGGGACGTCGCTAGCAGAATTTTTGGTCTGTTTGTCCTATATTCGAAGGCTACTTTTTGATTTAATCTGATGATTCAGAAAATACGACTTGGTGAAATCTGTTCATTCAGAAATGCTTTTCTGCTATATCTGATCCATCAGATCCGTTTTCCATTCATCAGGAACACTTTCCAGTTTCGTCTTTTTACCCGTGGGCGTGATTCACGCATGAACAAGGCGTGGTGTGGGTGTTTCCCCTTGATTACCGGAATGTATGCATCATACGTACATTTCGACCCCCCGTGCTCCCACGTGTATCCTGTTGGGAACAAGTAGTCTTAAAGCGCCTCTGTAGTGTCGAAACTTCAAGACACAAGCGAAGCAGCGCAAATCGAAGCACCAGCGAGTCAACCCTCGGAGGTTGATGTAACCGCTGGAGGTTACGAGAAAGTCAAAGGTCAGCGACCTTTGACCTGACAAATGCAGCGCGACAGCAAGGACACACAACTGACTCGACATGGAGCAGTTGCCCGAGTCGCACTGTATCGAACCGCAACAGTAAAGTAGTTACAATTATGTCTCTTCATATTCTCTGTACTCATATATATTCTTGTATCTCTTTGCTTTAATCAACTTACTTTGCCCTCACATACTAGCGCAAGGTGGTTCAAGGACTTTATTCAAAACGCTTCCGCTACTACATCATTTACTTAGATCAAAACTCTACCAAAGATCCTAGGGCGTTGAGCCCAACATGGTATGAGAGCAGGTTAGAGTTAAAAGCTACCTTTTCTCCAACACTTAATACATCAAGAAGACATGTCTGCTAGAAAGGAGAGGAGCTCCTCCAACGGCTCTCCCGGTACTACCCCTACTCCACCACCTGCCTCTGGCCTACAGACAGAGGAAGGGACAACAACGAGATCAGCAGCTGGGTCCACTGAAACACCCGCAAACCAAGGCGCGGGCTTCGATCCAAGCATGATGGAGAAATTCTTCTCCTTCATGTCCTTCTACGAGCAGCATCAGCAAGGAGTACCTGCGCAATCAAACAACAGCAACAACAGCAACAACGTGACGCCCATGAGTCTCGATGGCTCATCCTACGCACGCGGGAATCAACAACAACAACCTACCTTTGCTCCGTACGAGCCCCAGCGCGGCTCCGTCAGCTTCATGCCACAACCACAACCTGCACCGGGACAAGAAAGAGCACTGGACGCACTACAAGTTCAGTCGCAGTTCGCGCATGTTCTAAAACTACAAACGACAAAACCCTTCGACGGGAAGGACTTCTTTACCTGGTCGTTCGAATTCGAGCTGATGATGGAAGTAGCGCAGATCCTTGGCTTCTTCGACGGGTCACTGCCATATCCAACAAACGGCACACAGTATGAGAAGCAGCAGTACACCTATCAATCGATGATGGCGTACACAATACTACTGAGGAACATCACCCCGACTCAACAGCAGAACATAAGGACTTACCGAGGTTACGGTAACTCCGCGGAGCTCGCGTACAACCACTTGAAGAACCTGTATCAAGCAACAGACAGGGTAAACCAAAGTCGGTTAATGGCGCAGCTGACAACAATCGAAATGAAACCAGGCAAGAAGGGAATGGCGTATATCAGTCGCTGCCGCGAGCTGCGCGACAGGCTTCTTCGATGTGGAGGATCAATTTCAGAAGACGCCTTCGTCATGGTCGTCATCGGCGGTCTTGGCCCTCACTGGCGCTCCACTCGCGCCATACTACGAGCACACGGGAGAATCTCCGAAGCAGCACTCTGCGCCGAAATCCATGCCGAGCAGCAGGACATGGACCTGCAAGAAGAACGACATAAGAAGAAAACGTCAGTACCAGAGTTCGTGTTTCACACCCAGCGACGCTACAACAACAACAACAATCGGCAGCAACAACAGCTGAAGGCAGTACCTCCGTTTTGCCACATCTGCAAAAATTCAGGGCATCCTCGTACGCACTGCCCGTATCGTCAGCAATCGACAACACCACAGCGACAACTTCGGCCTTCAAGCTCCCAAGTCACTTCAACGCAAGCAAATCCCACGACAAAGATTCAAGCTTCAACGACTCCAACAGGACAACCTGCACAAGGAGCAAGAAACATCGTCAACTGCATCGCAAAGATAACTGACTCCTGCACAACTGAGTCACCACCATACTACTCACCAGAAGAACAACTCGACAACATCACACCTCGCCGCGAGTCACTTCAGCCGAACCCGACATACGCCGCCATTGCTCAAAGCGAGCCATCCGGAAGAGATACTTGGTTCTTGGACAGTTGCTGCGGACAACACATGTGCTCTTCAGGACGTTTCGTTCAACGCGAGCACCAACTCCGACAAGAAGTCGTCATCACCGTCGCCAATAATCAAAACCTGCGCACAAGACGACAAGGCATAGTACAACTTCAGTCACGAGAGACAAACGTCGTCCTACAAATGTCAAAAGTACTAATCGCGGAGGGACTCGGCTACAACTTACTGAGCGTCAGTCGGTTGATGGCGAAAGGTATTCACCTGGAAGCCGACAGTACCACCTAGGAGTTCAAACTATACCACGGGAAGGGCAGCCTCTACATCAGAAAAGCGGTCCTGAAGAACAACGTCTTCGTCCTTGACTTCGTCCCAGACCTGGGCACCGCAGACAGCGACGCCATCGTGAACTTCGCCGATTCGAC